ATATCAAGCAGGAAAAATATTTCCGCATTTCTAACATCACCACTAATTCTTTCTGCAGAAGTGTCCTGAATGCCAGCTGCGGTGGTCAGTGCTTCCAGGAAGTCAGACACGTTTCTGCAGTGAACACAGGAAACGACGCTGCTGCCACATCATAGCCAACTTCACAGGCATTCTGACCAAAAATCACATCTCTCTACTGCAAAAATATCTTTTACAAAGTGTTACAGCAGGCTGAAAATAGAATAAAATTCAGTGAAAACCAGTGTGTTTTAACTTCCAATCTAGCAAGTGCAGGAGAAGGACTTTATGGCCCTATGCCCGTAATAGATCAAGCAACTCAGTAAAACTTAAAAGATTGTAGTAGAAGCTCAACTTTGGCCAGACCTTTTGCTTATCACTTTGAGTGTCCAGCTGCCTGCTGTTTTCAGAGAAAGGTACCTCATTAGCCACCGTCAAGTAAATAGATGCTATCATTTTTCTGGCTCAGAAAATAAAAATTAATTAACATTAGAAACAAGTTGCTAAAAAGCTACTTATAGTCACTCACAGCATCTTCAATCATAAAAGAAGGACAATTTTAAGGTCACCATTCTGTTAAGGCAAAATGTGAATTGGCAATAACAATCCCATCAACAGCAGGCTGGGACAAATGCCTATGTCTACACTGAAATCGGTCACCTGCGTAGGAAGGCAGATGCATGCCACACCTGGAGTTACAAGATGTGTTACTGAACAGCTATCTCAAGCTGATAAAGAAACAGAACTATCAAGAAGCCAGTGTTATCAGACATCCTCAACAAAAAGCATGTCATCTTGAAAGTGCTCTGGATCACGTTCTTGGGCCTTAAAATGTCCAGAGATCTACACCAAGCAGGCTGCAACAGAACAAAACCTGGTCTAGCCAGTCTTTTTATTTCTGTAATAATCCAGGAAAACTGTAACCATGTCTACTTAAGCATTTATCACCAACAAACAATTCTGACAGAACTAAAATATAATCATTCCTCCCGCAGGCTAATGAGAGAATGGCTGGAGCTAAATGGTATCCCATAATAATTTTACGTGTATGAAGTGTTCCATTTCATTTAGCGATATTATAAAAGTGATGCATTGGCCATAACGTTTACTGTTTACAATCTGCAGCAAGCTATACCCTTCTCAAGGGAGATTAAGTAATCAAGAAAATGTTATTCACACTATGTATTTGAGAAAAATAGATCACTGTGCCAATTACAGACTCTTTCCTATACTAAGAAGGATGTATGCTAGCCCAGAAAGGAGACAGGAAAGAGAAAAGACAGGAGATCTGTTTGCTTCTCAAGTGAAAAGGAGGTCATACAATCATGCACTGAAAAAGGTTTGCTTTAGTCCAGCAAAGCCTGAAGAGGAAAAAACCAAGAACCACTACTTTTGAGTAGCTGCTGGAGACACTTCATTATAGCAAATCTTAAAGCTCTGAAAAACCATACAGTGACTCACAGGACTACAAACAGAAAGATCCAGAAGTAGTCAGAGTACTGTTTTGTTTCCAGAGTATCCATTAGAGGCAAATATTTTTTTCAATGATAGCATGTCTTTACAGCATTCTTTGTTAATATTGCTTATACACCATTTTCCACTGAAAGAACACAGTGATCGATACAGGCTGCAATGAATGAAGTGCAACATCTCCAGCAAACAGATGCTACATTATTCATTTCACAGATAAGTAAATGCAAGTATGAAAAATTAAGTGACTTGCTCTAGTCAGAGAGCCAAAAGCACAGCTGTGAATCTAATCCAGATACCCCAGCTTCCAATGATGCATTAACCACTAGACATTAGCCTTTCTAAAACGAAATGTAACCTTTTCCTCACATTTTGCCCTCCTTCTAACAAGTCTGGCAAAGCTAGTACAGGGGTTGTTCACGTGCTGACTTTTAAGAAACCAAAATCTTAGAAATAAACCAAAAATTATTAAAAAATAGGCTCAACTTTACCGTCTGGATTACAGAACTCCCAAATCCATCACTGTAGGGCTCAGTTACCTGTCTCCACCCTTCCAAGAGGAGGGTCAGCAATAGATCTCAGATTTAAAGCTGCTGGCCAGGCACAAGCTTGGTGGGAGGTATCAGGGTCACACATCATCCCAGAAGAACACCTGCTGCAGTCCAGATTCACAGCAGGCACTTACACCCAGGAGCTGCCAGTGCTGCATCCAAACAAGAGGAAGAAATGGATGGGATCATCAGGGAAACGTATACTGGCCCAACAGCTGCTCCTCCACATGTCCTGTCTCACATGCAGATACCTTTCAGCTGCCTTCTCCAAGGCTCTCAGCACAGGCATTGCATTGCAACAGCCTAGCGAGCTGCAAAGCTTGGCAAAATGTTAAAAACACTCATCAACACTCTGGTTGCACTAAAGGCTTTCTGTGTGGTGGCAATTACGTCCTATGCTGTCTCAGCTCAGAACTTATTCCATGCAGACAAGCATGGCTAGAGAACCCTCTGCTTTAAGAAACCCTTAATGGTCTCAGGAAGACTTCAAAAGCTGGCAAAGCCTTTAGGCAGGAAGAGAGGATAGGCACAAAACCACTGATGACAAAATTCCACCAGTCAATGGTGATTAAAGAAAATTGTTTAGACCTGACAGCAAGCAATCAATTTGATTGTCACCACTTATAACCTCAAAAATAAATGAGGAGAAACTTGAGAAACAGCACATGCAACTAATCAGTTTTACAGCACATATTTTTCAGTAGTTTCCACAAATACAAAAGTCTCCTTAAATGTTGGAGTACTTCTCAGATATATATAGCATTTATTCACTCAGAGTCTCAAAGATTAGAGTTCCAGAACATATCAATCACTTAAGTATTTTTTTTAAAAAATCACCAAATAAAATATTTTAGATACCCTTGCTTTAAAACATTTGTCTGAACACACAACAGGAAACCTTTATTACTTTTTAAGAATGAGGCAGATTTAAAAGTATTTAAAAAAAAATCCTAGTATTTAAAAATCATGACCTGTTTGCTAAATTGCTGTGATAAATCAGGGCACAGATCTCCGATTCAAAACTAAAATCACTCACATTTACATTGAAACATACAACACTTAAATTTCAGAAATAAATTATCAAGATAATTGAGAAAGCATACGGTCAAATTTCACCTTATTGCAACATCACACCATAAAACAAGGTGAGCAAGGTACAATTTGTGCATTACTGTGGGTGTACTAAAACTTGTCAGCAGGATATTAACTCTTCTTACAACACAAAGGTCAAGGCCATTGGAAATCCACCTGCAACAAAGTCCTTGGAAATAGCAGTGAAACCAAGTAAGAAGATCCAAAGTAAGGGCATAGGGTTCCAGTTTTATGTGAGTAAATACTTTTTCTTTCCAGCGCAACACATGAGTTTAGTAGTGTACTCTGAAACATATATGAGTTTTAAAAATGAATGTGTTTAATCCTGCTGAGCCTGGGCATGACTATATATCCCTACTAGTGTTCCACAAGCCACAGGCTTACAGAATTAACCCTGAAGCAGCCCACTTAAAATAATAAAAAACCCCAACAAATCCTTACATCACAGCTCCACCACAAAATTTCCAACCATGCCCAAAACACTGCATTTAAATTTAATTCACAAACAAACCAGCAACTTTACCACAAATTGCACAGGCACTCTGAAGTCCCACTTTAGCACTGCAGGTCTCTGGGACACTTCTGTGACTTCAGTGCAAACTTAAAAGAGCCCAAAGCCATTGTTCTTCACTCCTTCTATTCCCTCCATTCCATCAACTGACCTTACAATGACAGAAGAGCATTTTCTTCTTATCCCTCCCCTTTATCACAAGCTTCAGTTATAAAAAGTTCAACAAAATCCCCTCCACCACTATTTTCTAACGTCATGTATTTTCCATTTTTATTAACAATTTCATTTGTTTCTTGCAGAAAAGTCTACTCAAGGCCAATGTCTAAACCCTCCTTCCTGAAAGTTAAGTTTCTCTAAAAAAACTGTTTGCCCCCTGTACACACTTTGTTCCCTTAAGACAACCAGATTTAGAGACAGAGAGCTTGAAAAACAAATCTTGTTTTTATATTATTACAGCACTGTGGATTTGCCAAGGACCACTAAAAAGCTACAATTTCCATTCCTAAAAAGAAAAGCTGAACATCCACTTTAAACAAATGCTCATTTTTGTCTTACACCTGTTAAAAAATACTGTGCATACTAAACTTGGATTCTATTAATGTTGCTATAGCTGCAGTTATAGCAAACACAGACCTACCAAACAAAAACCACCAAAAACCTCAAAACCAACAAAAATCACAACCAAAACACACAAATCCACAACCAAAAGTCTTCGGAAAATTGCACTTTTATTTTTTCCTTCATTTTGGTAAGCATGTGGAGTTTTATTGTATAAAAAACCCACTGCTAATCAGTTCTTGTTTTGCAATCAAAGAAAACCCTGCTCAACAATCCCAATTTCTGTTTATTGGCATGAATGCAAGACTTCCATTAGTTTGCCTTAAGAATGAAAGAGTAGATACACAGCTTAGCAGCCCTAAAACTCTCAACAACACACAAAAACTCGCAGCTCCCAGCTGGATATTCCAAGCCGCTTGGTAATAAAATACACAGTTCCGAGCAGGGTCATTCCGAGCTTTTGCACTGAGTAGTCGCTCTGCTTTTTTCCTTGCAATATACTTCTTAATTATAAGGGAATACAAAGCTGTTAGCGAGGTAACCGCACTTTCCAAGGGAGTTTTCTTTTTTTTTTAATTCCCCGCACGGGGGAAGCGCCGCACCTGGCGTCACAAGGAAGCAACTTCGGAATGACAGCGGACAACCGCAGGGAAAACCTGCCACGCCAAGGAAACGAGGATCCCGGAGCGGAGCAGCCTTGCCCTGGGGACACCCCTACACTCAGGGCACGAAGCGCAGAGCTCGCGGAGCTCCGCCAGCCGCCGCAGCCCGCCGTGCCCCGCGGTTCCAGCAGCGCTTACCGGGCGGTGTCGAGCAGCGGGTGCTTGGTGCCCACCAGCTTGCGGACCTGCATGGCGATGTTGCTGAGCTCGTCGCTCAGCAGGCACCGCAGGCTCATGAAGGACGTCGGGTAGCCCACGATCTTCTCGGCCTCCGACACCACCTGGCTCCAGGGCGGGCCGCCCGAGGACAGGCACCGCAGCCCGCCGCCGCCGCGGACCCCGCGCCGCACCAGGGCGCCCCACATGCCGCCTCCCCGGGGACGCTCCGCTCTCCCACTACGAGCTGCGGCGGGGCTGCACACGCCGAGCGGTCGCGGACGAGCCCCGCTGCCGGAGGAGCGCCGCGGCTGTGTCCCGGCCGGCCGTGCCCGTGCCCCGCGTTCCCCCCGGCGGCGGCGGCGGCCGGAGCGGGCTCATTGTGCCCTGGGGGCGGCCATCTTGGGCGTCGCAAACCGCGGCGCGCCGTAAAGCGAGGGCGGCGAGGCGGGCGCTGCGGTGCCCGCTGGCCTCCGCCCTCAGACAGCCCGGGCGAAGCGCCCTCGCTTCCCTTCCCCCCCGCTCTGTCCTTATCCCTGCCGGAGCCGTGGCGGAGGGTACCGCCGGAGGGGGAGCGCTCCCCGCGCCTGGTCCGGGCTCCCGGCTGGCCGGGAGCGCCCCACAGAGCGGGATGTGCTCTGCCTGCGCCCGGGGTGCTGCAGGGACCAGCGGGGCAGAGAGGTCAGGTCCCACCTAAAGTGCTGGGCCCGCAGTCTTTAGCTACACAGGGAGGATTTGTGTGCATTATTTTAGGATGATCAGGCATTGGAATAAATTGCCCAGGGAAGTGGTGGAAACACCAACCGTGGATGTGTTCAGGAGGCACCTGGATGTGGCACTGATGTGGCTTAGGAGCGACAGTGCCGCTCTGATGCCCGGACTGACGGCTGATGCTCTGATCTAGACGGTCCTTTCCAACCTTCATGATCCTATACTTCTGTAATTGCAGTGTATGGGCATTCTTTTTTTCCTCTTCCCACTGTCTGGGGCATGGCATCAGCAGCCCCTATGTACTGCAAGCCCTTGCACTGTGGCTGTGTTGTATGGTGCTGTGCCGTGAGCCAGCTGAGGGCATATGAACAGCCTCCTCGTGAGCTGAACACCAAACAATGGACATCAAAAGGGACAGCTAATTTTGGGTGCCCAGCTGAAGACTTCAGGGTCCCACAGTTCCACAGTGGGGTCTGCTGTATATTGTGTAGAGTTTCCTTAATTCTGAGCAATGCCTCTTTGCAGGTGTCTGCCCCTGAAACTTTTGTGACTTCAGAGAATAGATATTCTATTTCAGAGAACAGACTTAACAAAGGAGAAAAATTCACTGGCGATCTTCAGAAATTGGGTTCAAGTGACTTCCTCACACCAAAAGAAGATTATAGATTATAATGTGTTCTATCTTTACCATCAGTGACATCCATTCCTTCTATATCTTCGAGGCTTTGTTGCAACAAAGCAGGCAAAGTTTTGAGGAGAAAACTGACTTATTGACTACATTCATGTTGAAATTGAGGGTGTTACATTTCTTATCTTTGGAAATACAAGATACAAATCACTTAATGTAGTTGCATTATTTAAAGATAATTACATTGAAGGATACTACTGTAAAAGAAGATGCAAGTAGAAAACAATCCCATCACAAAGAAAGATGTCCAGGAAAGCACAATATAACTCTTGCAGTTACAAGGGAGAAGCTGATGAAGAGGAACACACCTGTTTTTCAATAATAACAGTATGTTTATTGTTCTGACACCTGAGACAACTCCAAAACTCTAAAAGGTACTGTCCTAAGGAAGAGCTTTGACTGTGGAGTCACCAACGCCTGGACATGCCTGTGGCATCTCATAAGGGGCTTCTCCCAATGCAGAGGGGAAAAACTAGAATAGAGAAAACCTGTAAGAACTGGAAAGGTAACTTAAGAGTTAATTTTCTGGTGTCAAATATTTACTTTCTGTGCTGCCTGTCTCTGAGAGAATAAAGCTTTGCTTTGAAGGAGCTGCCACTGAGGCAGTTTAGTTAGCTGGTGTCACAGAACAAACTGTTGCTAAATAGGGATTTTCAGCTCATAAACACAGTTTAGAAATGACAGAATGCAGTGGCATGTTTCTGTGCAGAAAGCCTAAGTTAATGAAAATTGCCGGAGGGATGCACTTAAGAGGAGCTACTAAGGCACCTCATCCTGTAACAGTGACAAGTTCCTTGATTCATTTCCTGAGCCATATCCATTCTTGCACTTAATATGGTTAGTGTTCTGTGAAAAACTTAACATGATTATACAATTAGAGTCTGCTTAAAATAATACATATAAACTGGGGAGAATTAGGGTTCTATGGGCAATAAACCTACCATCTCCTAATGTGTGAGACTTTAACTTTTTAAATTTGCTTTTCTTTATGTTATTCTAAAAACCTGAATGCCTCTGCACTCTTTATGTAGAATTCTTCTAAGTCCAAGTGGTTTAGAACTAGGGCAAAACCCTTAATATCCACAACACTGCACACTAACACTAGGGCTTCCTCAGGATTCACCATCAGTAGGCTGATGTTCTTTAAAAGCAGCAAATGCTAGAGGAATAAAGCAAATATCTTGTCAGTAATTTTCCAGCTTTTTTATTATTATTTCTTGACCACAGAGACTCTTTGAGAAGATTGTACTGTAATAGCTAAGGACTTTCTGTCTCTTACTCTCAGCCCAATGCCTTCATCCCTTTCCCTTCTCTTAGCAACCTAAGAGTCTTACTTCAGTAGTTAATTTCTTTCTCACAGTCTCCTCATTTCTTTGCTCAGCCCCACACACACTGTATCCCTACAGGCTACTGTTCTTTCAATCTTGTCACAGCCTTCTCATTTTACCATCAATAACTTTCTGGTCTGCATGGTCTGCTCCCTAATCATAGGCTCTTCTTATCATACGTGTTTATGGGTGGGACCCTCCAGATCCTTGGCAAATCCTTTGCCAAATTTTAGGTTTGGAGCATGGAGAGTTTCTCAGTCATGCAACTCGATGATATTTTTTAACACAAGAGAATGTATTTTTTTGCTAACCTCATATTTCAAACTGAGTGGACTATTTTAAAAATCTGCTTCAGGCTGGCACACCAATCACAGGGAAAAATCATTACAAATTAGCTAATATTTGACAGTTACAGGCATCAAAAGCCAGGGTCCTATAATAGGCAGTGATGGACCAACTTACCCATAGGCATTGCTGTTTGCTCTGCTTGTTTCTGAAACAGAGCTTCTCAGTTTTCCTCTCAAAAAAAAAGAAAAAAACATCAGAAGCAAAAGTATGATGTACTTACCATATTATAAGTTGTGTACAAAACCACATTTTTTTCTTTTTTTTTTCTTTGCTCATTTCCCCACAGGATTGGAGAGAAAAATGTGCACTATTTCAAGAACTTCAGTGATTGTACAATAGACATGTCTTTTTCTTTAGAGTCTTAAGCAGAGAAGAAAATTGAAACTCTTTTTTTTTTTTCCAGTATCAATTGACTTTTTAAAGCCTCCCCAGGAGGAGAAAGAAGCCACGGGAGGGGGCCAATATCAAAGTTGAAGAAGAAAGATGACAGGTCAAGAGACACTTCTGTTTACATCAGCATGCTCTGGACCGATGTACCAGAGAATACATCAAAGCCACTACTAATGCCAGCTCTGGATCTCTTTTCAACAAATGAAATGTGAAAATATTTTCCTGACTGCCATCTAAAGTAGAACAATTGCAAAGCACTCTCATTTGATTTGGAACATTAGAACTTTCAATTTTTCATTTGAACTTTCAATTTTTCATCGTTACCCTGGCCTTATCCAGAATAAACAATGTCTATAGGAGAATAAGACTAGCAGTGTTATATATTGTAGTAGCTGTAACCTGTCTACATGACCAAATCTTCTAGAAGCTGCTTAATTTTTTAATATGTTAAATCCCAGGTGCACTCTAAGACTGTTTACAAAGGAAAAGTGAACAGAAATACATCTGTGCCTTCCAAAGCACCCATGTAGTTGTTGTTCCCACGCACACCTATTGCCCCTGCTTTCCCTCCTCCCAAGAACTGATTTACTCCATGGCATCCTGGGAAAGCAGAGTTATGATCATTTCCATTTTGGAAGTCAGGAGGTTTAACGGAGAGGTTGTGTGATTTGTCCAAGGCTTTGCAAAAGCCCTAAGGCAAACTGAGAAAAGAATCCACTTCTCTTGACCTCCTTGTCTGTGCCTTGTCTGCAAGGCTGCCTGTCTTCCTAGCAGCTGACAGAACTACTGACAAGGGCGAAGGCCGTATTGATCCTGTAGTTAGACACTGAAAAAACACCATCATTTAGCATCAGTTGGTTTCAGTAGGAGTCACGTCCTTTGGACAGAATTTGACACTTAGAAGTACTAATTTTTAAGTCTAATTATACTTACTGTAATACCAATATCAGAACTGGATACATTGCTGGTTAGTAAATGACAACAAATGCAAAAGATTTTTTCAAAACATAAATATAGCTGTGATCCGTAGGGATGCTCGATACGTTACTGGTTAGTAAATGACAACAAATGCAAAAGATTTTTTCAAAACAAATAAATATAGCTGTGATCCATAGGGATGCTTTGACAGAGAAGGTGTGTGTCACTCTTTTCACTCTGCACACCAGGCTCAGGGGTACAGTAGCTCATCAGGGATACGGCAGCTCATCGGTACATGCACAGATGGAAAGCCAAAGATCCCACTGGTCTCAGCAGCACCGCACAGGCAGTGGGACAAACCCCTCCTGTGCCACATGCCCTCAGAACACAGCTGCCTCCTCACCAGCTCATCAGCCAGCACTGCAAAAGAGAGCAAAATCAATTGAGATCCCTCCATTTCAGCAAGCTGAGCATGAACACGGTAGGCGAGTGTGCAGCTTGATAACGCGCCCCCTTTGTAGAGTCACTGTTTGTTCACCTCCCCACCCAGTTTCCATTGTGAGAGCCTCTCAGGCCATCTCCTCTGACGGGCAGTGCTCCACTCAGGGGAATTTGGACAGACACTCAGAACAGCAACGTTTTGGAGCCGAGTAATCTACAGTAGAAGGAAGAGGAAGATAAGCGCATTGTTAGTTTCTGCTCATACGCAATCAAAGCAGACAAAACATCCATCATCCTGTACAATATTAGTCTTGAAATATTCAGCTTTATCAGTTCCCCCATTCCTAATCCATCATTAACCACCCCATGAAGTCTCAGCTGATTAGCCCCACCTCTGCAGCTCAGCAAACCATTAACTATTTATTATTTGTATTTAATTGAACATCAGTAGCAGTAGAAAACTCCAACCAGACACATTTCAGAACCAGAACAAAGGAGATGGTCCCCTGCCTAAGGAATTCTTGTTTTGGACAAGAGTGAAGTGCAGCAAAGAGGAAGTGACAGCTGTGCTGAACAAAGGCTTACCCATGTACCCTCTATTAAATTCC